TGGCATAACTAATAGTACGTAACTCAACCTCAACTTCAACAACATATTTTTTTTTTGGCACATTAGATTATTTGATTGGATATCACTAGAAAAAGATTTATTATTAATTTAAACATCCCATGTTTACTATAATTGCTTCCATCATTAAAACTCTAAATTTAAATTACTATGTTCAATAAAATTCTCATTGCTGTGTCGACATGTAATTTATATTATCTAAATTTTGTAGAAAATCTATCTCTGTTTACTCCGTCATCCGTTGCCAGGTAAGCTTATTCCATTTTCTAATCGTTAAAAATTAAAGTTTGTTAAATTTATTGGCAGGCAACTTTACTGCTTAGGTTAATTCATTTAGATTTGATTATTAATCATTTATTTTTCCTTTCTATTTTAAATACTTACAGCCTTGCTCAGATGACCAGTGAACAAAGTGAGTTTAGATGCAGTAGACAACATCTTCATGATATAAGTAATGGTACGTACCTTTTTTTCTCTCGTACAGAATCTTGATTGTTGTTACGTAGAAAATGAAAAAAAAAATATTATGTCAGGCATGCTATTTTTTGCGCCATAGTTCTGTTGCCATCTAATGTATTTTATCTATTAATCTAACTCCGTTGATTCCGTCACCCGTTGGCAGGTACATTATGTGTGTTTACTTAGCCTTAAATTTTAGAGATGTTACTTTCCTTATAAAAACCAAGGCAAACTTATAATAATATGTAAATATATTTTTTCTTTAACCAAGCAGTGCATACGTAAATAATAAGCATACTCTGTCGAGTGTTAGATCAACCATTGCTAAAGATAATATTCAATCTCCTCCCACTGAAGGTAATGTTTTCTGTAAATTCTGCATTTGTTATACATATATAATTCAAATTTCATACAAAGCCTGTATTAAAGTTATATTTTTAACGTTTTGTTGTTTTTTTTTTTAAATTACATTTTTTAGATAGCAAAAAGGCTAGATTAAGGCGAAAAGGTATAATGGTTAAAAAAAACCGCTAATGGTACGTAACTATTTTTCTCCTGTACAGAATTTTGATTGTTGTTACGTAGAAAATGAAAAAATTATATTATGTCAATTTTTTTTTTTTTGCTCCCATAGTTGTGTTGCCATCTAATGTATTGTATCTCTATTGCGTAGAAAATCTAACTCCGTTGACTCCATCACCCGTTGGCAGGTACATTATGTGTGTTTACTTAGCCTTAAATTTTAGCGCATGTTACTTTTCTTATAAGATGTTAAATCTTTTTTTTTTTAACCAAGCAGTGCCTGCGAAAATAATAAGCATACTCTGTCGAGTGTTAGATCAACCATTGCTATAGATTATATTCATTCTCCTCCCACGGAAGGTAATGTCTTTTTGTAAATTACACGTTTCTTATAAAAGGATAATCTAATATTTCATATGAAGTCTGTATGAAACTTAAAGTGGTTAACGTTTTGTTGTTGTTTTTTTTTATTACATTTTTTAGATAGCAAATATGCCAGATTAAGGCGAAAAGGTATAATGGTTCAAAGGAAAACTTCTAAGACATGTGTAACATCACACAATGTACCACGTATGCTTCACTTAACAGGTAATTCATGTTCGCCTAAATTGAACTGCAACCGTGTGTTATAAGAGTATGAACTGTGATTAGTTGTGTTCTTATATTTAATGAAATCTGTATTTTTTTATGTAGAAAATCTTTCTCCGTTATCTGCGTCCACCATTGGCAGGTAATTTTATTGCAAGTCCGCTGATTCATTTAAATTTTATTATTATTCATTCATTCTTTTTTTTTCTGTTTTAAAAATTACAGCCTTACTCAGATCACCACTGAACGAAATGAGTTTACATGCGGCATACAACATCTTTGTGATATAACTAGTGGTACGTAACTCTCTTTTTCCTGTACAGAATTTTTATTGTTGTTACGAAAAAAAAGGAGGTTGTGTTGGCATCTAATTTACTTTATCTATGTTGCTTAGAAAATGTAACTCTGTTTCCTCCGTCAACCGTTGCCAGGTACTTGCATATGTGTATTTTTAAGCGTTATATCTTCACGCATGTTACTTTTCGTATAAAAGGCAAGCCCAACTTATGAATCATATGTTAATTTTTTTTTTTAACCAAGCAGTGCATTTGAAAATAATACGCATACTCTGTCGAATGTTACATCAAACATTGCTAAAGATTATACTCATTCTCCTCCCATGGAAGGTAATTTTTATGTAAATTAAGCATTTTAGATAGGGTTATATAAGGTAATATTTCATGTCAACTACAAATGCAAAATTACAATGCTTAAAGTTTTGTTGTTGTTTTTTTTAGTTGGCCAAAATGCTACAATTAGGTGGAAAGGATTAATGGTTCAAAAAAAAAAAAAAACTCTAAGCAATGTGTAGCGATAAACGATATACCAAAGATGCTTGACTTAACAGGTAATTCGTCCTTGAGTCAAATGCAATATAACCATGTGTTATAAAAAAAATTAATACATGTACTCTGTTGATTCCTACTCATAGTACAAATGGAGACCATTTGCTTCATTCATTATATGAAACTTTATTTTGTTCATTTTTTAAATTTCTCAATGTTGTTGCAGATTTTGAAATCAATGACAAAAATGTGTCAAGACATTACCTCTACCAGTGAAGGTGCACAATTGCTAAATTTAATATATTGGAAAAATAAAATCGTGTTGGGCTGTCTTTTTTATTATTTACATTTTTTGTTGTTGCAAATATGCATATAAATAATTCCAATATGCCAAATATGATTTCTATCAGCAACGGTCTTTGAATTAATTTTAAAATTTTTTATTATTTAATTGCTTTGTGTTCGATTATTGTACCTTTTTTTCTTTAAATACATAAAAAAAAAAATTGGTATTGAAATGTATTTTTTTTTGTTCTCAATCCATTTTTTCTTTGTATAACAGATATAGAAATCAATAATTCCAATGTGCCTACCACAACTTCTAACAATGAAGGTATTTATTTTCATTTCTTTTTGATTTTTTTTTTACAGATTATATTATCCGTCATTTGCCATGACTATCAATAAGAGCCAAGGACAATCTCTTTCTCATGTTGCAATTTATCTCCCCAAACCTGTCTTCACTCATGGGCAATTATATGTGGCACTGTCTAGAGTAAAGAGCAAGCGTGGATTGAAGATATTGATACTTGATGAAAACGGTTGTGTCACAAATAGTATCCTTAATATAGTTTACAAGGAAGTATTTCAAATATTAATGTCGTGAATTTTCTTCTGTCTATTATGACATAACATCACTGCTTGGTACAGGTAAAGACAAAAAAAAATGGCAATTGAGTGTTTTTTTACTTATTTTCGTTACCGTTTGGTTTTTTTAACTGCTAACTTTTTCTACTCATGCAGGAATCGTTTTTCATACACACATGGTATATTGCTAACTGTTATTTTTGAACAAACAATATTCCATCGTCATGAATATATGGAGGTATTGTTATGACAATTTTTATTTGTACTCATTTGTTCGTGTGCCTTTTTCTTTCATACTTTCATTTGTACATTATTACTCATTCATTCCTTTTATACTGAAGGATAAAAAATGTAGGTTCGACATCTTGCATGTATTGCGTTAGTTCTTACGAGACAAACAAATTGATTTTTTTTTCTCCGTGCAATGCACGGGTAATTCACTAGTTACTAATAAAGTTTGTAACAATCATAATTTATTATGACATAATAGTGTAAATAACTCTAACAAGAAATATAAAGAAAATTACAAATTAAATGCGCTATAGTGATTATATATGTTCTGAAAATAGGAGCTGCTCTCAACATACAAGCTCCAACTTTGCCACGGCGATGGCATCCCTTCAAAAACTTCCCTCAAAGCAAACACGTTGCTTCTTACACTGTTTGACTCCATCCATATTTATTATCAATATCAATCACACAACTAAAAATAGGCATTAACAAAAGATAACTACGATGAATTTCATATTTGACGCTTTGTTTATAACATTTTTTAATTATTTTTCCTTTTTAATTTAACTCACGCCACTCTGTTTACCACATGTCATCCAATGTTCCACACCAATATAAATGCTGCCATTAATGCTTTCATAAATTCATAGGAAGCTTACAGATTACAGGGATATACTTGTTGTGGCCATGTGGGTGAACACTAATCACACGTGGAGTTCTACGTGCTCCACCTCTTGGACTAATTAATACTTATTTGTTGACTTTTTATTGATAATTCATTTGTAATAGTTTGAAAATTCGAGTGTGACTAGTAAATTTTCATATGGTTTAGAAATAGGTTGAGCAAATATGATATACAAGTAAATTTGTCGATTAACCCGTTTAATTAATAGTAATTTCTCTTTATCACAAGTTTCCTTATGATGCATACTAGGATTTAAAATTTCTTATTTTATACATACACACATTTGAAACGAAAAGATTAAAAGAGAAAAATTAGATCTTACTTTACATGCTTTTATATATGTATTAATGTATAGAAGTAATAGAAGATAATATTATCTCGTAATAAAATTTAAAACAATAATAAATGGCCATCCATTTTAATAACAACGCATGTAGAAGTCACATCATCAAATGCTGACAGAGAAGCAAAAGAGAAAAGGCAAAAAAGAAAGAAACATGACTATTCAACACAGCCTCTTCCATTTTTGGTAACATATATAAAACCCATTTTAATATGCAGATTAAGCTGGCATTTTCTTTAGGCCATCTAACTCTTGCCTAACAGCACAAACTCACACACAATATTCAATTAAAGGGGTTTTTACAAAAAAAACATAGTCATTGCAAATCATAACACATGATAATTACATGAACAAAAACCCATTATTATAAATCCATTCAATTATCCTCCTCTTCTTTTCCCACACCCTTTTCTTGCAATCCAAGCCTTTTATTTTTTTTAATTTCCACTTGCAATTTATACCCTGAGAACCCTTCACAGGAAAGCTAAGTGAGAAGCGAGAAATGACATCGGTTTGCATATCCAACTGCGTGAACGACGCACGTGACCCACGCGTGCCGGTTCGAGCAACCTACGTGAACCTCTACAAGTGGCCGGAATCGGATGCAGAGTTTGTGAGATCGGTGAGCTCAAATGGTAGAAGGGGTTCTTCGCACGTGTATGGCCACCCAAGGGTTGTGGATAGCATCTCCTGCAGACAGATGTACCTGAAAAGCTACAAATTTTCCAGGAAAGAGACCGTTCCCGAGAAAACCCAGAAATGTTTTGGGAAGGTAAAGGAGAAAGTGGCTCACGGTGGAAGGAAGAAGAGAAGGACTCATCAGGGTAGAAGAAGGAAGTGTTTGGTTTGGAGGAAAATGAAGGAAATCTCGTACTCTGCTTTGTTTAGCATTTTCCACAAGTTCTTGTCTTGCGGCGCAAGTGTAGATGTTGTGGATGAAAATTATTGACTTTTTTTTTTAATTAATTCAAGGTTTGAACTACGAAATTCGTTTTTTTTTTTTTTTTTTGGGTGTTGTTATTTTCGGTTATTTTAATTATTTTATTTTTCTTGGTTGGGTTTAAGAATGGTGTATGAAAGGATCTTTAGGGAACGTCATGTCTCTCTCTATCTCTCCCTCACTATCTGTACATTAATTTACCCATTTGCAGGAAAGATATTTGGCTAATTTTTCTCTCTTATAGTTTTTTTAATTCAACTTAAAATTTTCAACCTATGCCTTGAAGCTATCCCGTTACAGCTTCTGAGTTCTGAAAGTCACGATGAACTCTGTCTTTGAGTTCCTTTGCTTCTCTGTCTTTAATTTTCTTTTCCACAAAGTAATATCATGAAGATAAAGCTTAAGAATTGCTTTGGCTTTTGCAACTATTCAAAGAGGAAAATGGGCTCTTCATCTTATATTCTTCCAATTTAATAGCTACATGAGTATCCAAAGTCCATGTACCTATTGCTGGTATCTACATATGTGATACGTTCTTCTAATTTTGCTAAACAATGTGCGATTGTGAAGGGAGACAATTGTATAATGAATTAGTTGTTGAAAATGGTAACGGGGAGCCGAATCCTTTACAGAAGATTCCTGCGTTAAAGGGTCAAATGATAATCATAATAAATGAATTGACACCAGGTTTCAAATTAAAACAAGACTAAATAATAAATTATAATAAGTAAATTGACATGATACCACGTCTCAAGTCAAAATTAGGTTCTTGGTCTATGTGTATTTATATGATCCTCACTTAATATTTGCTTAGTAAATATGAGACTTCATACAGTTACACACATTTATATTTGGAAAAATCTCAGAAACCCTTCTTTAGTTACTTCATAATCACTTATTCCCTTTTCAAATTTTTGAATCATTTATATTTTTAATTTAAAGTTTATTTATCACTCATTCTTCTAAATTAGGGATAAGTGATAAAAAAATTTAAATTAGAGAATAAATGATAATTTTTTTTTAAATAAAGTATAAATAATTCAAAATTTTGGTGAGGGGATAAATAATTCTAAAAAAAATTACAGGCAGTTTTTTTGAAGTTTTTCCTACATATTTTAAACATTAGTTAATTAATTAATCATCGCTGAATCTGCTTTGCTTTGGATTCTGTTTTGTTGTAATAGTTAAGCGAACGGAATTGTTGACTGGTTACTGTAGAAATGTTGAGATAGATAGAGAATGAGTCTATTTGATGATTGCGACCGCAAAAGTTCCACAAATAACTGGAAAGCCTATCTTACGGGAAAAATTCCCCGTCACCCACCGAATCCTCTGTCGCTGTCACTAGTGAATTATGCAATTTTTTGTTTTTATTAAATAATACAATAACACATAGTGCATAAAACTTTTTTTAAGATTTTTCAAATAAAATTTTAATTATAAAATAAACTAATTTAACACACAAGTATATTGAGTTTTGTGAAATATATTAATATTGATATATACCTATCCTATGAGAGATATAAGGTCCAATCTAGAAATGAGAATTTTATTCCCTGATTTTTCTTTTTCTTTTTCTTCTCCCTCTCTCTCTCCTCTCTCCTCTTTCTCTCTTTACTTTTTTCTCTCTTGAGGGACCAATGGGCCAGGAGCTCTACATTTTCTCTCCTATAAATGGCTCTAGAGGCCCCACAATTAACATTTAAGGCTAAGGAAATGTATTTATTCTGCGTTGACGTAATCTCACAAGGGTATATCAGCAACTGACAACATCAACAACTCAGAATTTTATTGTCACTTTAATAGTTAATAGCTAAGGGGTAGATATTTGATTCCAACTATACCTATAAGGCATAATCTACAAATAGACATTTCACACGCGGGATAATCTACAAGAGCCATTTTTACTCACCAATGAAGTTAAATGCTGCCATATTAAAGCAACTTAAGTAGGACATCCAACCATTATGTAATGAAGGTTTGAAACCCATATATAATCAACTAATCCATTTTTACTTAAACTCATTGCTCACAAACTGATTTGAAGGTGGAAGTGTCTTGCAAGTACCCCACACATCTCTCTCGACCAATCAAGAAAATCCAATACCAGACTCGCAGAGGATCCCATTGAAGCATCCCGCATAGCATTTTCAACAACATCTACTCCCGAGAAGACCCAAATAGCCATTTAACCAGGCTCAATTGTGTGTGATCTAATCCAATTCTTATTACATTGATCAAAGGGGTTTGCGTTCATCATGTTATATGACACAAAAAAATTTCCTACACATACAACATTTTGTGGGGCCCGCACTTTTTGAAGCATAAAAAAAAAAAAAAACTAACGCACGCAAAACAAATCTCTATAACATTACACAATCACTTTTCTTGCAACATAACTTTTATAAAACCCTTGATCAAATATGTATAACTTTTTGGTGTGGTGATATATACCTATTTCTTCCTACGTTGAAACACAATTGACTTTGTCAACTAGTTCACATATTTTGAATCAGATTTATATAATTGTATGAGTTTGACTCTCTTCGTAGTTACTAATTTTGCTATCTGATCATCCTTTTCAAAAAGATCACTGGCTTTAGGGCCAAGAACTTTAAGTAATCCTTTAAGAAAATCTCTATTTGCATTTGAGATCGTTAGCATTCTTGTCGTAAGTATTAGAGTAAGATGTCCTTGTCACTATTTGTGTGATAGTATAAAAAAAAAAAATTCAATATTGTCTACCAAGAAAATTAGTATACGAAAAAAAATGGTCGTAATAAATGTCTCTGTCTACCTTAAAACAATGGTTTGAAATATAGTTAAAAAGTTACTAACGATTAGTAGGATTTTATAAATGCAAGAGATTTTTTTTAAAAAAGAAAGAAAGAAAGAAAAGTCTCATATTAGTTGTGTCGTACATGTGTTTTTATGAAATATTTGTAGTTAAAGTTAATCATACGAGATTTACAAAAGAAAGAAAGAAAGAAAGTTAATCATACGAGTAATATTTTGCTATTGATACTGCTTGGTGAGTAATATATGATTTATATTGTATGAGAATGATAGGATGTAAAATCAATTCTTATTTGTTCACCATTCCACATATATAAATAAGTTATTCTTAGTTTACCGAAAAATAAGTTATTCTTATATTTGTATAAGAATACGAAATTTTATACCAAAATTTAGTTATTGATTTATTTATATCTAAGAATTCACCTATCTAATAAATTAAAATTATTATGAATAAATAGAATAAACGATCAATATAAATTGATGCAAAATAATCCCTATCTGTATATATTTGTTTAGCATAACGTTATTCTTCGATTGGTTAGCTGTGTAGATATATATTTTAATGAGTGTCACATAGCAATGATTGATTATCCTCTTGGATTTCATTTCGAGTGTTGGGATTGCAAGTTCAATGTTTTGAAGTGCCAGCCAAATGAGAACATCCATGGCCAAAGAGAATGGGCGTGAATAAACAAGATAAAATATAATCATAACTTCCACCAAACCCCATTTGGCTTTACTGAAACTTGCATTCTACTCCTGGTCATGGTGGGTGTCTAATCAGTATGCTTGCTTAAGCTCACTGTTCACATATAAGGCTAATGTATACCACTAAAGAACTAATCATGACCAGTAATCGAGGTCACCATTGATCATCAGTCATCACAATCACTTTCCACCTAGTCCAGCTAATTTTGACACTCCCCCCGGCGTTTGATACCCGGTGTTCTTTATAATTTTGGAAAAGCTGAATTTTTTAAATTTTTAATTTTCGGATATTATTGTAAATTGAATGTAAAAATTATATTTCTGAAAATTAAGATTTTCGGATAATTTTTTTTTTCTCTACCAAATGCCCCCTCAAGAGCTTACTATCTTTACGCATTTATAATTTTTTTGTTATATTATTTATGATGTTATTAATTTTGTTTTATCATTTTGATATAATCTTTGTTGTGTAATATGAGGAGAAAAAAAAAACTTGATACGCATAATGTTGACCCTGCTTCATACAAACTCTCTTTCCTTCACTTTCTTCAAAATCTCCATAACTCTCATGGTTTGGCAACCCTTAATTACTTGAGCATTTACTTTTTTCACTGTTATTAATTTATCATTGTAAAAACAAGGAGGGAAATATTATATTAAAATTATTTATAAATTTTTTATTTATAAACTACATTATATCTTATCAGTAAAACACTCTTGAGTGAAGTCTTACTGATAAGATAAAATGTAGTTTGTAAATTTGTAAAAAAATAATTTTTTATTTCAATATAACCCTGCTCAAACAAGAAAGCCAATATACTTTAAAATTTACATTTTTAAGGTAGCTCTGGCACATTAAACTTACAATTTTCTCACTAAAAGTCCCCACCAAAACTGGACAGCAAAACCGTTTAACTTGGAAGCAAAATAACTATACAAAAATTCATTTAAGACTATGTTGGGTAGCAACAAAGATTTGATAGAAATGTTTAAGTGTGAGTAATAATGAAATTCTACATCGGTTAAACATTAACCAAGTGAGGACCATATAAGTGCAAAAGACCTATAAACCTATAGCTTTAAGGTTTTGGGTTGAGATGTAGTGTCAACTTACTTATTATGGTTTGTTGCTTGACCAATTGTTGGATATATCCTTTGTAAAGAATTTTGGGCTCTCCCGTACCATTCTCAACTCTAGTATCAGAGCCAAAGGTTTGTCTAGGCTGAGTATTTGGACACTAGCCTCCGGAGAAGACTAATGTGACCTAATATTTGAAGATAAAAGACTTCCGCAGAAGTTACCTTTAAGGGAGAGTATGATGTTGGGCTTTACATTTGAGGGGTGGATGTTAGAAATATGATGTTGGGTCTCACACACTTGAGGGGGAGATATTAGAAATATTCAAGTGCTAGTAGTAATAAAGTACCACATCGGTTAAACATGAAATAAGTAAGAACCATATAAGCGCAAAAGACCTATAGCTTTAAGGTTTTGGGTTAAG